CCCGCCCCCCCCCCCCCCATTTTCTTGTTTGTCGTATTCAAAATGAATGAATTGAAATCTAGCACAGCTTTAATTCACTCATTGTTTACTCAAACACAGATCTCTAATATGTATGATGTAGGAGGAGCTGCAACACAACGGCTGACTTTAAATAAAACCAATACTCAGAAAACTGCTTAATCCGATCAATCCCAGGTGTAGTAGATTTGGCCACTGTGTATGGGAGAATTATGGGTAGTCCCTGGAAAGGTTTTGTCGAGTTTACCTTGCCGGCGTCGCCACCTGCAGTGTTCGTTAGCGCTGACCTGAACAGCACCTCGCCCGTCGGGCTCAGCCTGTCACCCTACGGCCGATCTGTAAGTGCCCTGCCATCTGCTCTCCACCCCACTGTCCCCCACTCTCCCGAACTCGTTCATTAAACACCCACCGTCGCCCCTCTCTGCGCTGTTCCTATACTCCATCATCCTGATCACCAGGCTTAGAGGCTGGCCTCGATCACTTGCTGTAGAGACGAGCAGCAACGAGAGGTGGAGCCGCAAGAGCAATGATGTTTCCACTTAGACAAATATAGTAGCTGAGTGTAGATTTGTTTATTCAGTCGGCTGCTGTTGAACCATGTATGATTGGCAGAAAATGGATATTAGACTTTTTTGTCTGACACAGTGAATCAAAGTGTTTATGGGTGTGTAAAGGCCTGTATTTGTTTTGATGTTATGGCCCAGTGGTCGAGGCTGGTCAGAGTCTGTGTCATCTAACCATTACTGTTACCGTGTAGTCTAGTAGTGCCATTCCCAGTCGCTTCATCAAACTAACACATTTTCCTTGAGCATGTCTCCTAGCATGGGTGGGGATTTAGTTAAAGGGATAGTTCACCCAAAAATAAGTGTCATTTATTTTTCTGACCTTCTCTGGAACAAAGATCATTTGAAGGTTTTTTTTTTTTTGTCCGTAAATTGTCAACTTTTGTGTTCCTCAAAAGAAAGTCAATCATATGGTTTGGAATGACAATTAGGGTGAGTAAACAAAGACAACTTTCATTTTTGAGTGAACTATGCTTTAAAGGTATCATTCACCCAAAAATTCTGTCATTAATTACTCACCCTCATGTCGTTTCAAACCCGTAAGACCTTCGTTCATCTTCGGAACACAAATTGAGATATTTTTGATGGAATCTGACCGCTGTCTGACCCTGCATAGACAGCAATACAACTGAAATGTTCCGCGCGCATCTGAAGTGTCTCTGAAGGAAATAATGCATTATTTATCGGCTTTAAGATATCGGCCAAATTTTCTTATCGGGCCGATACCGATAACAGAAAAAATGAGCATTTATCGGCCGATACCGATATGGTGGCCGATATATCGTGCATCCCTAAAAAATATCTTTCGGGTTTGAAACGACATGAGGGTGAGTAATTAACGACAGAATTTTCATTTTTGGGTGAACTATCCCTTTAAGGCCTGTTCACACTAAGTGTGTTGTAATAAAATTATTTGATTCACCTATGATTGTTTGCACAAGAAGTATTCCAGTCATTCACATGCTTTAATGCAAAATGCAACCTCTCTGGCTGAATACACATTTCATAATTATTACCCATCACTACAATGTAACATTCTTCTTGAATGGAGCAGTGAAAGTTAAATGATGTGATAGCATGACATTGGAATGTACCATAAGATAATATTGGTGAACTGTAGTAATAGTACAACTGTTGGTCGAGTAAATTGACATTACCATGTGTCGGTTACTTTTGTCATTCTTTGGATGCTTTTATTCAAAGAAAATGCAAGATAAAATATGCAAGCATACTTGCCTTATCACTACTTTAAGCCAGACTTGTTTGTTGCTTCTATGGATTAATGTTCCTTTAAATTGGATGCCAGCCATTTTAACTTGCCTTTAATGGCAGTTCTGGAAATTTGACCCAAAAGCACATATCTGATTGGTTTAGGTTTTTCATACTTTCTATTGTTTAGATTTATCAGATGTCATTCCTGAAAGCTCTTCTCTCGCATTTCAAATTACATTATTCCCAGCTACCTGCTAGTAATTACTTGAACCTTAACAAAAGGCATAAGGAGTGTATTTTGGTCTATCTGCTTTTTTAACCCTATGTAGATCATCAGTAGTATGATGGCCTCTTTGACATGTTCAATTTCTTACAGTGAGGGTTTATTTTATATA